TTCAAAAGTTAAGTTGAAGAATTTCTACATTTTACTCGTATTTTTCAAATTTCAAATTCGCACCTTCTTCATCTCTCTCCTCGCCTTAATCCCAACTACTTTGGATCAGCCACCCTTATCCTAAACTTCCACTTGACACGATCTCCCACATCATCTACGCTTATATCAGCTATTCTCATATCGCATTCAATAGCATCCCTCCATCTCTTTTTTGGTCTTCCTCTACCTCTTCTTCCTTCAACATTCATTTCTATAACTGTTCTTACAGCTTCCGATTCTTCTCCTTTTATAACACGACCAACCTAACCGCATTGTATAAAGGGAAATTGTCCGATTTCAAAAAAAAAATAATTTTGATGAAAAGAGTAGTAAAAAGTTTTACCATAAAAAATTGTATTAATCCATACATTTTTCGAAAATTCATAATTTTTTTAACTTTGGTGTCTCTTTTCACCACGAAGACAAGTCCAGAGGTCAATTTTTTTTCAAATTAAAGTTTATGTAATAAACTTTAATTTATAATATATATATATATATATATATATATATATATATATATATATATATACAAGTATCAAACTTTCCCGAACACTTTCAAAAGTTAAATTGAAAAAGTTTTACTTTCTATATGCATATTTTTGATTTGAACTCCCCTCGTATATTGGAAAATGGTCAGATTTAAAAAAAACAGTATGTTGAATGAAAGATGTATATAAATACCACTTCTCATGAAAAAGTTGTATTAATCCATACATTTTTCTAATAGTTATAGCATAATAAAGTTAAAAATGTAAAATACAAAATCGAAAATTTTCACACAAAAATAGCATTTGATAGCCATTTTCATCGTGAAGATAAAAAAAAGTCCGAAATTTTTTTTCATGATAAAGTATATTACATTAGATTTAATTTAAGATATATATAAAAGTGTCAGACTTTTCGGAACACTTTCAAAATTTAACTTGAAAAAGTAAAATTTTTGTGAAAAAGTTGTCATTCTAAATCACCCACTGTGGGCAGGTGAAGGGTTAAAAAAAAATATACCAAATGGAAGATAATGATATCATGCGTCTAAAAAAAAAACATTATATTGATATGGTTAATTTTAATAAAGTTATGTCTATTTTAAATAAAAAAATTGAAAAAATTAGTTTTTTTTAAATTTGTAATTTTTTTGGAGGTTTCCCCCATTTACGGGGAACAAGGGAATTTGTTTCCAATTTTGAGGGTAATTTCTTCGACGAGATACGATTTGTGATCTTTTGACGTATCGTTGTAAGAAATCTGTTCGGTGAAAAGTGAGAAAAAATGGTAACAAACACAAAAAAAAACACATCTTAGTAAAACCAATACCTTCTCAGCTTCGCATCGAAGCTAAAAATGGGTAATATGATTTCATTCTACGCGGTGGTGTTACGAACCCCTATTGTTATGATATTAGTGTAGTGGGGTAAGGAAGTAATTAGTAATTGACAACTAATAAGCAATAACGATCTAACCGTTGTATAAAAATATTGTGTTATGATTTATAAGTGATTTTACCTTCAGACAATTAATGTTATAGTTATAAGTAATTGTATTTCTATAATTAAAGAACCGTTGTCTAAATATATATTGTGCTACAACCTTTTAATTTTATCTCACATTATAACTACATTCACTTCAAAAAAGTTACCGTGTCTCATTCTAGGTGCGACACAACATACACCAGTATGTACAGATTTGCATCGATGCATTTCTTATGAAAGTGTTTTTAATCTCTGTCAGATATCATCTATACTTGTTCAATCTAAACTATATCTATAATCTTTCACTACCCTAATGGCTTACCCTTTTAAAATTAATTTAACAAGATTTTATTGAAATTCTGATATCGATCAATGTATAATTTTAAGATTAAATTATAAAGTTTTCTCGGGAACTATAAAATTACATTTATTTGTTTTGAGCAATTAAAAATAAACTTTTTTTAACTCTATCGAGGCAATATTCTGAGAACATAAATGATTTAAATTATTACATGACTTCAATCTTCACTAGTTTCCAATGTAATTATGCATACAAATTTGAAAAAATTGATATGAGACATATATTTAAAAATATATGTACAAAAATAAAGATATTAGCAATTATAAACTTTTTGTTTAAATGTGTACACATTTTATTTTTAAATATACAAATAAAGGGCCTGTTATTTTATGACTTAAATACGAACATTTAAGCAGCTCTTAACTACATTTTTTTAGTTTACATCGTATAATTCTAGTAAAAAATATTTAAAAATGATGATTGGAACTTCATGGTGCCTTTATTTGGTGTTGAACATTTTATATTATACTCAGAAAGTTTCAAGTGAAATTACAATGCTAGAATTTCTTCAGAATTTTGTTTACTCTGCGGCTAGTCGTCAACTTAATGGAGTCAGTGTTAAATTTCAAGGAGGGAATTTTATATCTTTTGAAGACTTAAAAGAGGTAGCAATTAAAGCAGCAGACCACTATAATAATCCTAAAGCACGAATATTCCTTGAACATTTTCAAGATCATTTACCAGATATTGTTTACTGTAAGTATGCGGAAAGAATAACCGCTATTACTCATTATATTTATTACCTGCTGGAAGCATGTAAAATATGTATAGATTATGAAAGAAAAACATCTCTTAACAAATTTATTAAACAATTAGTAGAATTGGTAAATTCTATACAAGATGGAATTCATTATGTTAGTCAACTTGGTTCTAGAAAATATACCTTTCCAAATATTTCATATTTATTTATAAACAATCCACTTAATTTAGGTCCCATAGAACATGTTGGCATACAGAATTACATTGATAATGTATTACAACAATTAAACACAGATGCCAAAATTTATATGAAAACATTTTGTGTATATGAAAACAAAAATAATATCCCAATTTCAAGTTATATTGATAAGTTGTATAATGAGCATTTGAAAAATTTTAAAAATGATACTATGTACGAATTTTTAGTGCAAAAAACTCAATGTTACTTTACTGAAACTAACACTTTTATGGATCATTTAGATGGAATTTATCAAAACCTTTTTAGAAATAATAATAATAATAATAATCAATAATTGTAAAAGGTATTTTTTTGTACTAAATTTGTTAAATAATAATTAATAATATTTTCTGTTATATAAAATAATAATTATATCAATGAGTTAAAAAATAAAATGTTCAAAAATAGTTTTTTATTTGTTATTTTATATTTTATTATTAAACACCTTGAATGAATATTAGTATACCAATAAAACATAAAATATAGAAAATATATTATATTTTAATTTTAGATAATGAATGATTGTTTTTTTTAATGGCATTTATTTTAGAAAAAGTAGTTTAAACTGCATTCCTGCCATTAGAGTTTTGAGAACAAATTAAATTTGGATGGATAATTACTTCATTTATAAACTCGCTAAAAACCCAATGAGACTATATAATTAAGTAATGGTCAACCGCCAACGTGAAGAAACAAATAGAAAAGTCGAAAAACATACAATAGCCATTTTCATCTTTTAAAATAAAATTTTTTTAAATAACATTTATTTTCCTCAACATTTTTACTAGAGCAGTACACGAAGAATTTGTTCTTTTAATATAATCAATTTTTGTTTGGAAATTAGGAATAATTATTTATAAATTTTGGAACATATTCACTAGTGAGTGATTTAGGTGATAACATGCAAGTGCAGTAGTTCTAAACAGTCGTATTTGCTTTATTATGTAAAAACTATGTTTTGCCTTTATAATATCATAATTGGACGTATTTCATGAGAATAAGTTCAATAGTCAATCATTAGAAGATAAGTCATCTAATGATTTTTGTGTATAGAAGTAATTTATTTTTTTCACCAATAGTTGCATTATATGTATTTCGTTAAATAGTCATTTAGATTAACTAGCAAACTTTGTGAATACTAAGATTCGCCGATATTTATGACATAAGTGGACAGTGTATTTTATAAAACAAACAGTTACAATTTTTAGACTACAGTTAGCAAGTAACTGATTCTAAAGTTTCCGTATAACATTTTCTTGGTTAAATGTTACAAAAGCCCCCAAGTACTCATTTTTCATAATATGTATTTAGAGAGTACATGTTCATGTTTGACAAAAAAAGTATGAGGAATCATAAAAAAAATGATTTTTATTTCCGGTAATTTTTACATTAGGTATAATGTGTCCAAGTTGATAACGCCTTTGGGGAAGGCCGCTTTGGCACTTAATGGGCTGATAATGCAATAAATTTTTTTTTTTTAAATTAAGACAATTTTTACTTAGGGGCGCTTTCTTAACGGCTTTAAAAAGTCTGTAAACTCTGATTCAGTGAAGAATAATTATATTTTAATTCGTAAAATGAAAAAACTAATCTAAACTTGTCTAATGCGTTTATGGCTACAATATCGTTTTATGCTCCGTATGAATAATAATAAAAAAAATATTCGAATTGAAAAATAGTGATATGAAAACATTTGACATTCTGTGATAGCAACAGAATGTTGTCGCGTCCCAAATGATTTACAACGTGTTCCACCTGTCTTTGAGTAATATAAAAGAGAATGTACAAGAAAACAGAGAACCCAGAGAGGATAAGTTCTTATTCAGTAAAATAAAAAAATAAAAAACCCATCATAGGTGGGTCGCGGCACAGTGGTGACGTGGCATAGTTGGATCAAGTATAATGATATAAAAAAAAAAACGCTTCGATAAAAATATTTAGATATTGTTTAATTTTAAAAAATTGGTGGATTATTTCAAAAGCTACATCTTTTGACGTATCGTTGAAGGAAATTCGTTTGGTGAAAGCTGAGAAAAAGTGGTAACAGACACAAAAAAAAAAAACACATCTTAGTAATATAAGCAATAACGATTGAACCATTGTATAAAAATATTGTGTTATGATTTATAAGTGATTTTACCTTCAGACAATTAATGTTATAGTTATAAATAATTGTATTTCTATAATTAAAGAACCGTTGTCTAAATATATGTTGTGCTACTACCTTTTAGTTTTATCTCACATTATAACTACATTCACTCCAAAAAAGTTACCGTGTCTCATTCTAGGTGCGACACAACATTCAACATAATGAACAGATTTGCATCGAAGCATTTCTTATGAAAGTGTTTTTAATCTCTGTCAGATATCATCTATACTTGTCCAATCTATACCATATCTATAATCTATCACTACGCTAATGGGATACCGTTTTAAAATTAATTTAACAAGATTTTATTGAAATTCTGATATCGATCAATGTATAATTTTAAGATTATTTAAGTTTTCTTAAGTTTTCTCGGGAACTATAAAAAACATTTATTTGTTTTAAGCGATTAAAAATAAATTTTTTTTAACTCTATCGAGGCAATATTCTGAGAGCAAAACTGATTTAAATTATTACATGACTACTAATCTTCACTAGTTTCAAATTTATTTATGTATACAAATTTGAAAAAATTGATTTGGGACAAATATTTTAAAATATATGCACAAAAATAAAGATATTAACAATTATAAACTTTTTGTTTAAATGTGTACACATTTTATTTTTAAATATACAAATAAAGGGCCTGTTATTTTATGACTTAAATACGAACATTTAAGCAGCTTTTAACTACATTTTTTTAGTTTACATCGTATAATTTTAGTAAAAAAATTTAAAAATGATGATTGCAACTACACGGTGCCTTTATTTGGTGTTGAACATTTTATATTATACCCAGAAAATTTCATGTGTTATTACAATGAACGATATTCTTCAGAATTTTGTTTACTCTGCGGCTAGTCGTCAACTTAATGGAGTCAGTGTTCGATTTCAAGGAGGGAATTTTATATCTTTTGAAAACTTAAAAGAGCGAGCAATTAAAGCAGCAGACCGCTATTATTATCCTGAAGCACAAACATACCTTAAACATTTTCAAGATCATTTACCAGATATTGTTTACTGTAAGTATGCGGAAAGAATAACCACTGTTACTCATTATATTTATTACCTGCTGAAAGCATGTAAAATATGTATGGATTATGATAAAATAAAATCTCTTAACGAAATTATTAAACAATTAGTAGAATTGGTAAATTCTATACAAGATGGAATTCATTATGTTAGTCAACTTGGTTCTAGATATTATACCTTTCCAAATACTTCATATTTATTTCTAATAAATCCACTGAATTCAGGTCCCATAGAAGAGGTTGGCATACAGTATTACATTGATAATGTATTACAACAATTAATAACGGATGCAAAGATTTATATGACAACATTTTGTGTATGTAAAGACAAAAATAATATCCCAATTTCAAATTATATCGATGAATTCTTTGAGAAATATTTGAAAAGTAGTCCATTAGATACTATGTTCGAATTTTTAGTGCAAATAACTCAATGTTACTTTACTGAAACTAACACTTTTATGGCACATTTGGATGGAATTTATCAAAACATTTTTAGAAAAAATAATAATAATAATAATAATCCATAAATGTATAATTTATTATTTTGTACTAAATTTGTTAAATAATAATAAAAATAATAATTAAAAATATTTCTGATTATATAAAATAGTTATTATATCTATGAGTTAAAAAAATAAAATATTCAACAATAGATTTTATTTGTGTTTTTTTTATTAATATGGGAAGGTGTTAATAAAGTAATATCTATACACACTAGTATGTTCAGATTTGCATCGAACCATTTCTTATGAAAGTGATTTTAATCTCTGTCTGACATCATCTATACTTGTCCCATATATGCCATTTCTATACTGTATCACGATCCTACTGTGCTAGTGTATTAAAAATTATTATAGTTCTTGACACGACTTATGTCGCAAAAATGTTGTCGACACTGGTTTTGAGGGTAGAGACCCGTGGGCCGTTTATTAAATGAGCGCCAACAGGTTTTTTTTACAGAAAAATAAAACAAACCGATAAGATAAATACAATACTAATAATAATTTTCGCATAATATGGCGGCACTTTCGCTGGTGTACAACGCGCTGTCCGTCGTGATCCTTGAGTGACAGAAGGTATCAGCGTTGTAGGAGACGGTGCGCGGGTGAAGATCGGTTTGTTGACGTCGCCACTTGGATAACGGGAAGAAGACTACGGTATCATTAGCGGCGGGACGTCGTTGGTCGTGCGACACTTGCTGGACTTTGCAACGTGGCGTATGGCACGCGGTATTGGTCAGTCAAGTACTCATAAAATAGGGCGACGGCTTATAAAGATGGCACGAGTCGTAGGGCATCGTGTATAACAAACCGACGCGGGTTGTGTCATTCATTATTCGTTATTTTATATTTTACATGATTATTTACTAAACCCTTTGAATGAATATTAGTATTCATTTAAAATTTGTTCTTATAATATAAATAATTTTTGTTTGGAAATTAGGATTTATAATCATTGGAACATATAGTATAAATATTAACACATGTACTAAATATCACATATATATGAATAAAGCAAAAAATCATCTAAGGAATGTTTCCCTTTTAGGGTAATAAAAATAACTATTTATCAACACATGTTTCAAACCAGTCCCCTACAATTCATTAACTACGCCCACGGCAGGGTTTCTATCACAATTAACCAATCACAAATAATTATCCAACATCTTAGAAATTTCAATAGAGATCGCTGGCTTACTTCATACGGCGTATAAAAAGTCATTTTTTCTCGTAAAAAAGGGACTTCTTTTGACGATTTTCTGCGGCTGCGACTTCGACGACTACACTCTAAATATTCTCTTACATGGAATCTGCGTCAGTATAAGTAAATATTTTGTCCCTGTGACTTAGTTTTTTTTATATCTATCATCCTAAGTGGTGAACATTGTCTTAGATGATTTATTAATATTTTACACAGGAACAAGTTTTTATTTATTATTATTATCACCTAATGTTCTCACGACAAATAGACATTATCTTTATTTTTATATAAAGGTTTTAAATATTATTATGTCCTTCATTTCTGGACAGCCTCAAATGTGCCGAAAAGAGTGAAGAAGCGTAATTTTATTTATACAGGCATAATAGCCTCATACATTATCGTATATTCATAATAAAGATTATTGTGCCCTACATTTATGAACAGCCTTAAATGTGCCGAACTAAATGAAGAAGCATAATTTGTGATTAGAAGTAATTAGTGTTAGTAGTAGTACATTATGCCTGTGTACCCGTCAGCCCTAAGGGACTATGCCAGTTACCTTTCGGTAACGTGTAGGCAGTTGAGGTACAGAGTAGTACTAACCTTATAAAAAGAGTATTTTTGAAGTGCGCTATATCCGTCGACAAGCCAGTTCTAGAGCTAGTAGTCCGGGTAGAGTTCATCATAAAATATATAGTCCGTAAGATAGGAAACTACATCTTGGAAATATTCTCTGCGTGTGTACCCGCCAGCCATAAAGGACTATGCCAATTACCTTTCGGTAACGTGTAGGCAGTTGAGGTACAGAGTAGTACTAACCTTATAAAAAGAGTATTTTTGAAGTGCGCTATATCCGTCGACAAGCCAGTTCTAGAGCTAGTAGTCCGGGTAGAGTTCATCATAAAATATATAGTCCGTAAGATAGGAAACTACATCTTGGAAATATTCTCTGCGTGTGTACCCGCCAGCCATAAAGGACTATGCGAATTACCTTTCGGTAACTTGTAGGCAGTTGACGTAAAGGATAGTAAAAGATGTATTCAAATAATATTTAAAATATATTAACGAGGTAACTGTGTCCGCGCCAGCCAAGGCTTTACGCTGAGAAACGATGGGCCACCACAGTCTTGTTAATTATATTTTGAATATAGATAGACATATTCTTATAATTATATTTTGGCTAGTTCAGAGTAAATTTTAAGAATATCGATATCGACTGTAGGGAATTCATCGAAAATATTATTAGTAAAAACATAGTATAATATAAAAGGAATTTAAAATAAAAGAAAGTGATAAAATTATAATAGACGCAGGTCCCATTGTAGAGAATCCCTTTTTTTAANAACGCAGGTTCCATTATAGAGAACCCCTTTTTCTAAGTCTAATATACACAGAGAGACTAATTAATCGAAATAGACGCAAGACAGTATAAACGACTGTTGACACTGAAGGAAGAAATCACCATAAAACCAACTCAGTCAATTACTAAAGGAAATAAAGGTAAGTACTTCTAAAAAAATCACGTAATAAACAAGAATAGGAATAAATGAAGTAGGGATATTTATTATTTAATAAATAAATATAGTTCGACCCAGAGATACGACTTCATCCACTTCATCGATACCTCCCTCATTCTTTTCCCCCCACTTTCTATCGCACAATCTATTTTTTTTTTTTTTTTTTTTTTTACAAACAAATTCACTATTGAGTGATTTAGCTGATAACATTCAATCTTTACTAGTTTCAAATTTATTTATGTATAAAAATTTGAAAAAATTGATTTGAGACAAATATTTAAATATTTAAGTACAATAAATAAAGGTATTAATCATTATAAAACTTTTGTTTAAATAAGTAGACATTTTATTTTTAAATATACAAATAAAGGGCCTGCTATTTAATGACTTAAATATGAACATCTAAGCAGATTTTTACTACATTTTTCTAGTGTACATCGTATAATTCTAGTAAAAAAAATTTTAAAATGATGATTGCAACTACATGGTGCTTTTATTTGGTGTTGAACATTTTATATTATACCCAGAAAATTTCATGTGTTATTACAATGAACGATATTCTTCAGAATTTTGTTTACTCTCTGGCTAGTCATCAACTTCGTGGAGTCAGTATTCCATTTCGAGGACGGGGTTTTGTATCTTTTGATACCTTACAATTCCATATAAGTTATACCGTAGACTACTATGATAATGTATACCAAACAACAGATGCACAGTCATGCCTTGAAATATTTCAAGATTATTTGCCAGATGTTATTTACTGTAAGTATGCGGAAAGAATAACCGTTATTACTCATTATATTTTTTACGTAATGGAAGAATGTCAATTATTTATAAATCGTGGTAGAATACGATCTCTTAACACATTTATTCAAGAATTAGTACAATTGGTAATTTCAATACTAAATGGAATTCATTATGTTAGTCAACTTGGTACTAGAGTATATGCCTTTCCAGATATTTTGAATTTATTTCAAAACAATCCATTCAAGTCAGGTCCCATAGAACAGGTTGGCATACCGTTTTACATTGAAAATGTATTACAAGTATTAAACAGAAGTACAAATTTATATATGACACAATTTTGCCAATATCATGACGAAAATACTATCCCAAGTAAAAGTTATATCGATCGATTGTTTGCAGATCATTTGAGAAATTTTGCACATACCACTAAGTACGACTATTTAGTGGGAAAAACTCAAGCGTACTTTATTGAAACTAACAATTTTTTGGATTCTTTGGATACAATATATCGAAACGTTTTTACAAATAATAATAATAATAATAATAATAATAATAATAATAATCAATAAATGTAAAAGTTATTTTTTTGTTCTGAATTTGTTAAATAATAATAAATATAATAATTAAAAATATTTTCTGTTATATAAAATAATAATTATATCAACGAGTTAAAAAATATAATGTTCAAAAATAGTATTTTATTTGTTATTTCATATTTTATTTACTAAACACCTTGAATGAATATTAGTATACCAATAAAACATAAAAAATACAAAAAGTATTATATTTTAGGTTTAGATAATGAATGATCGTTTTTTTTTAATGGCGTTTATTTTAGAAAAAGTAGTTTAAACTGCATTCCTGTCATTAGAGGTTTGAGAATAAATTAAATTTGGATGGCTAATTACTTCATTTTTAAACTCGCTAAAAGCCCAATGAGACTATATTATTAAAAGTAATGGTCAACCGCCAACGTGAAGAAACAAATAGAAAAGTCGAGAAACATACAATAGCCATTTTCATCTTTTAAAATAAAATTTGTTTTAATAGTGCAGTAGTTCTAAACAGACGTATTTGCTTTATTATGTAAAAACTATGTTTGGCCTTTATAATATCATAATTGGACGTATTTCATGAGAATAAGTTCAATAGTCAATCATTAGATGATAAGTCATCTAATGATTTTTGTGTATAGAAGTACATTATTTTTTTCACCAATAGTTGTATTTCATGTATTTCGTTAAATAGTCATTTAGATAAACTAGCAAACTTTGTGAATACTAAGATTCGCCGATATTTATGACATAAGTGGACAGTGTATTTTAGAAAACAAAAAGTTACAATTTTTAGACTACAGTTAGCAAGTAACTGATTTTAATGTTTCCGTATAACATTTTCATGGTTGAATGTTACAAACGCCCCCAAGTACTCATTTTTCATAATATATATTTAGAGAGTACATGTTCATGTTTGACAAAAAAAGTATGAGGAATCCTGAACAAAGCTTAGGCGGATTGTCCCATCTCGGGTGTACGTGGGGACAACAGAAAGCGGTTAAAAACGTACAAGGCCTAAGGAATAAAGTGTTTGATACCAACCGGACAACTTGTGCGGTAGCTGTTTCA